GAGAGAGAGAGAGAGAGAGAGAGAGAGAGAGAGAGAGAGAGAGAGAGTTTTGCAAGGGCTAAAGTTATGTTTTAAGTTTATTGTGCTTAAGAGATCTATGAAACAAAAATTCCTCTAAGCTGTAAGCCCCACTTGCCCAAAGACAGATAACTTCCTGAAATGCTAGGCAATGTTCATGTAAGATAACAAGCCACGTGCTTTCACTTCTGTAAACAAGCTTGGTTGCCCCAAATACAGAGGATAAGCAGATCACACATAGGCAGGAAGTGTGTCAGGATGTATGCTTGTTCCCTATTGGATGAAGGTGGGAAGTATCTAGCCTGGTGGATTTTGCCTTTATAAGCACCTGACTAAGGTAATTCGTGGCCGTTTTCTGGGAATCCTGGGTATGGACCTGGCCAGTGTCCATTCTCCTGGGCAGTATTTAATAAAGCTTGCTTCAAATTTGGCTCAAAAATTGTGGTAGTGGTCTTATTCTCACCCTGTGGGGTCAACAGCACTTGCATGCACAGATGTGGGTACCTACCAAAACATGTGCGTGTGTGTGTGTGTGTGTGTGTGTGTGTGTGTGTGTGTGTGTATACGAGTATGGGTTAGTGTAGGTGTGTGCATGTGTGTCTGAATATGGAGGTGGACATTTCTGTATTTCTTCCATTGGTTCCACCTCATCGTTATGTTTTTGAGACAGAGTTTATTGAACCTGAAATATATTTTACTATAGCCTTAAACATGAGAGTTAGGAGAAAGAGAGACACTCCGGAGAAGGTGAAGTGCACCCAAGGCATGGGTGTTGGCTTCCAATGAGAGTAGCAGGAGGTAAGACTACCCAAGTGTGGTCTGATGGACTCAGGGCAGAGCAGCTGTGATGTCCAAGCATAGCCACACACACCCTTTTGGTGGCCTCAAGTTACATCTCAATAGGTTGCTAAGGACCCCTGCCCTCCCACTCTTCTGAGAGGGGGATTGTGAGGTGGCTCTGGGGATGCATTGCATGGGTGGATTAGGTGAATAAGGTAAATCCAGGAGCCCTTAGGGCTGTGTAGGGACTTAGGGTACACCCTTCCCTATCAGAGGAGTTTCTGGGGGATCACAGGAGGATGCAGGCTCCCAGCTGTCAGGGGAAGGCTGGGGCAGTTAGTTTTGGATTCTCCTCTTCTTTGCCAGTAAGGGGCTCTAACCATTGGGCGATCACCCAGTTCTCAATGCCTTTCTCTCTGACCTCAGGCCTGGACAGCACCTGGCCCCTCCAGGAAGTTGGCAGCTTTCTAGCCTCATCCCACCACCCCACCACCCCCATCTGCTGGTCTGGTCCTCTCCATGTGGTACTTACTGCTATGATTTCTGAGAGGTCTGATACATGACCAAATCTCCCATCTAACTCCTAGCACTTTGTGGCCAGGCCCCTGTGCCTCTGGCCTTTGCTCCAGCAGTGTGACAGGAACCACTCAGGCCACTATTGGATCTGGCTCGAGAACAAGCACAGGCAAGCCTGTAATCCCAGAGACTCTGGAAGCTGAGGCAGGAGGATTTTATATGGGCCCTTCCTTTTATATTTACTCCACTAAATTTAACTAACCCCACTCAAACTCTGCCAATCTAGCTACTGTCACCCAAACTAGTAGTTCAGAGTAGAAAATTACTAACAGCTACATCTGCCAAATGACTGCATGCAGGTCTGACGAAGACCCTATCTCAAAAAGTGAAAAGGAGCTGGGTGTAGACTATTGTAAACACTCAGGAGACTGAGATAGGAGGATAACAGATAATGGCCAGCCTGGGCTACATAGTTTAAATCTGGCTGGGGCTAATAGCAATGCTCTTGTCTCAAATTAAAAAGTAAAAAGAAGACTGAGCCCTCATGGTGGCTCACAACCACCCGTAACTCCAGTTCCAGGGGCTCTGACACCCTCTCCTGGCCACACCTATGGCACATAGACATACATGCAGGCAAGACACCTGTATAGTAACCTCTTTTTGGTGGTGGGAGTGAGGGTGGGAGGAGGGGCAGGCTTGAGACTAGGTCTTTCTACAAAGCCCTGGCTATCCTGGAACTCACTCTGTAGGCCAAACTGGCCTCAAAGTCAGGGATCTGCCTACCTGTACCATGCTTAAAAATAATCTTTTAAAACTGAAAATGACTGAGCCTGCCACTCACCACCGTTAGCCCTGCCTGGTATACACACAGACCCGGATATGCTCCCCAAGGGGGATCATTTTCCTAATGGGGAGGGGCTCAAAAAAAAAACCAAAACCCATGTGCTAAACAACCCCCTGAGATTCCAGAGAGGGTTCTTAGGCCAATAGCTGGGGATGTGCCCACGGAGGTGACTTTCAGGTAGAGGGCAGGTGACTCAGAACTGCTCACCGGTTAGTGTCAAAGGCGAAGTCCAGGATTCAAAGAAGTCAGTCAGGAGGTCAGAAACATGTCTTTTTTCTTCTTCTTTTCTTTTTTTGTTGTCATTTACTGTTAGCATGTGAGGATCCTACAGGTTTATAGGGTCCAAGATGCCATTTTGACATATGTGACCAGTATCTTTGTCACCTCGAACATGGCACACTGGCTTGTGCAAAAGCCTTCCAGATCCTCTAGGAGCTGGCCTGAAGCAAGTCCACAGGCTGTTACCTCAAGCTCCATGCTGTGCCCACCTCCAGCAGAGCTTTGCCTGTTTAGCAACCTCTTTCTGTCCTGTCCCTCTTTTTCTCTTCCCAGACTCTGGCTGCCATGTTTCTACCCTCTCCTGTCACAAGGTTAACTGGTGCAGACACCTCAGGGAAAAGGGGGTACAAAAGAACCCCACAGGCCAAGTCAGGGCCCGAGAGTGGGCCAGGGGTCAGGTGGGGGATGAGGACAGTGAGATGTGGGTCAGAGAAAGTGGCATTCTTTTCTCTGAGTATCAATCATAGCCATTGTCACTGTAACCAAGCAGCTCAGAGTTCCCACCAGAGACCTTTAAGGATGAAGCCTGCGGGAATTCCCTTATGAAAGGAGATGGTAAGGGCTGAGACTCTTCTCTCTTCCTCTTACACCTCCTCTTGGATGCATGTAATCCCATTCCAGTTGTCTTGGTTTAGGGAGGTGCTAGTAAGAGAAGCGTAGGTTAAGTAACGGGAGCTCTTCATCTACACAACCTCTGGAAATTGTCATCCATGCTGGAGAGGGACTTTTCAGTGATGTGGCTGTTTCAGGGTCACCTACAATTCTGTAACACGGAACTACATCTCTATAAGTGACCCCTGACCCACCCTTCTGTGTGTAAATTGGTTCATCAGACTGTGATTAGATGGAATTGTTCCTTGGTCTTCATGAGTGCCCTATCTGGGATGTGTGTCATCACGTCATGCCAGGAAAAGTCACACAACATGCTGGAGGCGCTGTGACATGTGCATCAGAGCCACCACTTTGTGCACTAAATGATGTTACCAGTGTATCCTCAGGTCCAAGATGCTGTGCTGTTTAGCTTTAACTGTCAACTTGACACAACCTAGAATCACTTGGGATGAGAGCCTCAGTGAGGAATTGTCTAGATCAGGTTAGCTCATGGGCATGTCTATGAGGGATTGTCTTGACTGTTGATTAACACAGGAAGCCCCAGCCTGCTGTGGGCAACACCATTCCCTAGGCAGATAATTGTGACCAGAATAAGAGAGAATATAATAAGCCAGCTGAGAGCAAGCAATCAGGGATGGACCTATGCATTTGTACTCTTACTGTTCTTGACTTTGTGTGTGATTTCTCTAGTTGCTTACATTTCTGCCTTGACTTCCCCAAAATGATGGGCTGTGAACTGTAGTTGTAAGCCAAGTAAACAACATCTTCCCCTGTGCCGCCTTTTGTCAGGGAACTTGTCACAGCAATGGAAATGAAGCTAGGATAGATGCCATCTCAGGGAGACAAGGGGCCTAAGAAAGACCTACTCCATCTGCATGAGATGCTCTCTCCACTGGGAGACTCCATTTCCCAGCCAGCATTGCCCAGGATGGGACCCAAAGCTAGGATCTGTGTCTAAACGGGTAAAACAGAAAGACATGTTGCCTTACCTCCTAGATTAGATTAGGAGCACAAGGTGATAGTGGTGGACCCCCTGGCAGAGAGGAAAGTGATCCCAACATTTTGAGGTGCAAGGCCTTTGCACTGCAGGCTTGCTGGGTACTTTTAGGGAAGGGCTGGGCAGGGCTTTGGAGGAGGTCCTAGGTGGGCTGCCTTCAGACCCCATCATTGGTACATGTGGATGGAGTTTCCCTGCCCTCTGGCTCAGGCTCATCCCGAAGTGCCCGCCCCAGCACAGCACCCAGGGACTCCTGCAGCCGGTGGCTCTTCTGGCTACCCACGAGGAAGTAGATAACCGGGTTGGCGCTGCTGCTCAAAGACGAAGAGAAGCGTGACGCGCAGATATACAGGAGCCTCACATCCCGTGGCAGTTCCACCCAGTAGAGTAAGAACCAGTTGATGCCCAAAGGCAGAGAACAGGTGAGGAAGACAAGGACGGAAGCCAGGATGACCACGAACAGCCGCCGGGGCCGCCGTCTCTGCAGCAGGCTGTTCCTCCGCACCCGGATGAAGATGATGGCACTGGTTAGGACCATGACCGGCATGAAGATCCCCAGGATAAGACTGTTGAAAACCATGTCCACCTTGAAGCACTGGTATTCGTTGGGATGCCAGAACTGGACGCAGAAGAAAGAAGCCAGGAAGTTCATCAGGAGGGCCAGTGCCCAGAGTGCACCACATACCACCGCTGACAGGTGCTGGGGCCGGTGGCACTTATACCAGATGGGGAAAAGCACGGAGAGGCAGCGCTGGGTGCTGATGGCCGTCAGCAGGCTCAGTCCTGCTGTATAGGCAAAGTACTTGATTCTCCTCATCCCCTCGTAGACTCTGGCGGAGGTGCTGGCTGTGAGCAGGGGCCCTGTTTCCAGGCTGAGAAGGGAGGCCATGCAGAGCAGGAAGAGGAAGTCAGCCACCGCCAGGTTGAGCACGTAGACACAGAAGGGGGACCTCTGCTCACTGTGGAAGCTCAGGAGCCAAATCACCACGGAGTTGCCTGCCATCCCACACACACAGGTGGCCATGGCCAGGAATGTCACCAAAAAGTAGACCCAGGTCACAGGGTCCATGGTGGGACTGACGGTCAGACCTGGAGCTGGGCTGCTGTCAGGAGTATAGTTCATTCCTAAGGGAGGAAAAAGAACCCAGGTTAAATGCTGTGTTATGGACAACCGGGGCTCCCATTGTGCCTGACTCTACCACAGGACCAGACAGACACCAGACATATACTCCACCTGTCTCCCGGCTCGAGTTTCTTTTTATTTTCTTTCTTTTCTTCTCCTGTTAGAGTCCAAGAATTTGGGAATACTCCACTATGAAACCAAGTTCAAGCCAGCAAAAATTATCTTTATTCAGAAGCTAATATATCAGGAAGACAGCTGGATTTGGGATATAAAACCAGAGGACAAAACAGAACATTTTAAAACAAAACAAAAACAAACAAACAAACAAACAAAAACAACAACAAAAAACCTCATAGATGAGGTGAGGTAGGGGCATCCAATCAGGTTCATGCATACACTGGCTATTTCACACCTGGTATTTTAAGTCCCTTCCCATGTATCAAGTGTCTCGGGTGGCTTCCTTGATAGCTTGGCCTGCATCAAGGCCAGCCAATCAGAACTCCTTTGGCAGTTGTGGTCTCAAACTCACTATGTAGACCAGGCTGGACTTGAACTCAGAGATCTTCCTGCCTCTACCATCCGTGTGCTGGAATTAAAGGCATGTGCCACCATCACTTGGTTCTCTCTCTCTCTCTCTCTCTCTCTCTCTCTCTCTCTCTCTCTCTCTCTCTCTCTCTCTCTCTTTTTGAGACAGGGTCTCATGTAGCCCAGGCTGGCCTCAAACTCCTTATGTAGCCAAGGATGAACTTGAATTCAGGATCTTGAGATCCTGCCTTGCATCTCAAGAGTTAGGATTACATCACACCCAGCCTAATTTCATCATTTAAAAAAACTTTTTATTTTATGAATATGGATGTTTTGCCGGCACATATGTGTGTACCACACATGCAGTGCCCGTGGAGGTCAGGAGAGGATGTCACATTCCTTGGAACTGAAATTATTGCTGTGAGCTGCCATGTGGGTCCTCGGCAAGAACAGCAAGTGCTCTAAACCACTGAAGCATCTCTCCAGCCCGCCTTTCCACTCCTTTTTCCACTCCTTTTCCTCCTCCTCTTCATTTACCTAGTTTGAGGGTTTTTTTTTTTTTTTAGACAGGGTATCATGTAAGCCAGGCTGGTTCAGAACCCCTGACCCCCCTGCCTGTGCTTCCCAATTGCAGCTGTGTGTCACTTGCACCCAATGGTGACCTGCTCTTGTTCCAAGCACCTTAGTCCTCGCTCAGAGATAAAATCTCCACGTGGCTTCTGTCTGTTGTTATTGTGGTTATAAATGGCTTGGAGATGCGGCTGCTCCTCTGCTTTCCAGAACAGTTTGTATCCTGTGAGATCCACTTTCTTTGTAGGCTTGGCAGAAGGTAAAACCATCTGTCTGGTCATTTCTGTGTGTGTGGGACTGGACTTCAGAGCTCCAAAAAAAAAAAGCTGCAAATCCGACTGTTCGTGTTTAATGACTAGTCAGGCTTTCAACCCTGTTTGAGTAGCACTGCATAGAACACGTAATGTGTTAATATAAAAGTATTCCTGCCTTCTGGGTTCCCACTTGTCAGTATAAAACTCACTGCAGCATTCTCTCTCTCTCTCTCTCTCTCTCTCTCTCTCTCTCTCTCTCTCTCTCTCTCTCCAGGGTTTCTTTGTGTAATCCTGGCTATTCTGGAACTTGAGACCAGGCTAGTTGAACTTGAACTCAGAGACTCCCCTGCCTCTGACTCCTGAGTGCTGGGATTAAAGGTGTGCAACACCATGCCTGGAAGAAAATTGTTTTTCCTTTTACTTATGTGCATGTACCTCAGTGTGTGTATAACATATCTGTAGGTGCCTAAAGAGGCCAGAAAGACAGTGTCAGATGCCCTCAAACTGGAGTTACAAATGGCTGTGAGTCACCTGGAATGGATCCTGGGAACTGAACTCAGGTCTGAAAGAGCAGGAAGTGCTCTTAACACAAAGCTATCTCTCCAGCTCCATTTTATTTTATTTTATTTTATGTTATGTTATTTTATTTTATTTTATTTTATTTTATTTTATTTTATTTTATTTTATTTTATTTTATTTTTGAGACAGGGTCGCACTATGTAGCCATAGTTGGTTTGGAGTTCACGACTTAGTCCAGGCTGGCCTCAAAGTCACAGGAATTGTTCTATCTCTGCCTCCTGAGTGCTAGAATCAAAGGCATATACCACCACTTCCAGATTTTCATAATTCTTTTAAAAAATATTTATTTACTTATTTAATGCATAGGAGTACACTGTAGCTGTCTTCAGACACCCTAGATGAAGACATCAGATCCCACTACAGATGGCTGTGAGCCACCATATGGTTGCTGGGAATTGAACTCAGGACCTCTGGAAGAGTAGTCAGTGCTCTTAACCACTGAGCCATCTTTCTAGCCCCTCTCTTTATAATTTTTTAAAACTACAATTTTCTGCCACTTTTATTTGCTTGCTTGCTTTCTCATTTTGTCAGGGGTTTGTTTTTCAAGAACTCTGTATAAAACATCTCTTTCTCTTATATTCAGTTGTTTTCTTCTTGGGGTGGGGTGGGGCACCTGTCTTCAAGGGTCAGGAGATGACTTCCTGGGATGGTTCTCTCCTTCCACAGTGTTGGAGGTTGGGACACCAGATGGGGAGGAATTCCCTACCCTTTCCTAGCATGGTCTTATCAAAGAAGATGGAAAGGAAGCCAAGATGGGACCAAGGAAAGGAAGGGGCTTTGGAGAGAGGGCAACCTGTTTCTGAACCTGGACCAAAACAGACAGTTTTTGTTTTGCTTCTGAGACAGGGTCTCATGTAGCCCAGGCTAGCCTCAAAATCCCTGTGTTGCTGAGGATAAACTTAAATTTCTTGTTTTTATTTCAGTTATTTATTTGTTAGTTTATTTTAAGTACTCGAGCATACATATGTGTGTGCATTCGTGTGTGTGTGTGTGTGTGTGTGTGCATGCAAGTACTCACATGCACATGCCTCAGCAGTTATGTGAAAGTCAGAGGACAATGTGTTGAAGTCTGTTCTCTCCTTCGACCATGTAAATTCTAGAGTTAAACTCAAGTTGTCAGGCTTTGCAGCAAGTGCCTTGAGCCATCCCACTGGCCCAGCCTTCAGACTTTCTGTTTGAAGCTGTTTGTTCTGTGGTCACTGTTACAGCAACTGCATAGAGCACATGTTGTCAAAAGCAGAGTGCCAGGTTTGTTTTGGCCACGCAGCTGTGCTGCTGGCAGTTAACCTTGAACTTGGGAGAGGAGAGTGTGCTCTCCCCGTTGAGCTCAGCAGCAGGTACAGTTCGGACTCGAGAACCGGTAGAGCCACCCTCAACAGCCTTCCCTTTCATAGGCCACAGCCAGGACCTGTGCCCAGCACATGAGGAACACGCAGAACCTTATTGCTAAGGACCTGTTGGGTTCTTTTGGAATCCAGCATCACTTAGCCTTTGGGGGAGCTTTGGGTTAGCTTTGGGGTTCCCTTAAGAATTTTGAGCCTGAGGCTTGTTCTCTGTTCCCCAGCAGAGCCAAGAACCCTCCTGACCCAGGTGAGCTGCCCCATCTCTAGCAGAGGGGTGTGTATACCTCCAGGGAAATACTCCTGGCAAGGGGAAAGGGATACTGCTTGTGCCTTGAAAGTGTCACCCAAGTCCCTGGGATATCCTTCAGCCCTGTCCCTTGGCTCTGATAGCACTGAGCTTTCCGTCCGAAATGAGTGCAATGTCTGTTCATGTGTTTCCATTCCCCGCTATTCAGCTTAAAATAAATATTTCTGTTTTTTCCCCCTGGCTCGCCTCTCTCCTCTTTAGTTGTTATTCTCTCTCTCTCTCTCTCTCTCTCTCTCTCTCTCTCTCTCTCTCTCT